ATCAAGAATGTAACTTATTAGTAAGGGCCCAGAACATGTCTGTATAAGAACAAACTACTAGCTACAAAAAATTTCCATTTGTGCAGTGTTAAATCCCTCTAAAAGTAAAATTTACTTAAATTTATAAAAGATACTGACATTTACTCTGTACTATCCAAAATATTAATTATCCATTGTATACTATTGTAAAAACTAGCATTTATAAGGTATTATACCTCCGGTAATTAGGAGGTTTTAAGCGGTAAATAAAAAAAAGAATTTAACCTACTTTATGAATTTTCTTTCTTTCTTTCTTTCTTTCTTGCTTTCTTTCTTTCTTTCTTTCTTTCTTTCTTTCTTTCTTTCTTTCTTTCTTTCTTTCTTTCTTTCTTTCTTTCTTTCTTTCTTTCTTTCTTTCTTTCTTTCTTTCTTTCTTTCTTTCTTTCTTTCTTTCTTTCTTTCTTTCTTTCTTTCTTTCTTTCTTTCTTTCTCTCTTTCTTTCTTTCTTCTTTCTTTCTTTCTTTTTTCCTTCTTCTTTCTTTCTTTCTTTCTTTCTTTCTTTCTTTCTTTCTCTTTCTTTCTTTCTTTCTTTCTTTCTTTCTTTCTTTCTTTCTTTCTTTCTTCTCTTCTTTCTTTCTTTCTTTCTTTCTTTCTTTCTTTCTTTCTTTCTTTCTTTTCTTTCCTTTCTTTCTTTCTTTCTCTCTTTCTTTCTTTCTTTCTTTCTTTCTTTCTTTCTCTCTTTCTTTCTTTCTTTCTTTCTTTCTTTCTTTCTTTCTTTCTTCTTTCTTTCTTTCTTTCTTTCTTTCTTTCTTTCTTTCTTTCTTTCTTTTCTTTCTTTCTTTCTTTCTTCTTTCTTTTTCTTTCTTTCTTTCTTTCTTTCTTTCTTTCTTTCCTTTCTTTCTTCTTTCTTTCTTTCTTTCTTTCTTCTTTCTTTCTTAATAATAATTTTGAGAACTCTTCTTTTCATATATCTATAAATTTATTATGCAACCAATCAAATCCTTGTGTTCTTTTACTTTTACTTGGCATTTTAATAAAGCATAACAAATTTATAAACTACTATTAGAATATCATGTTTTCTTTTTTTATTACACTATATAATACGTACATTTACGCTATTTTCAATATAAGAAAACTTTTACAATCCATTAAAACAAATAATATCCATTTTCATCTTTTGATTGTATTGCCAAAACAAATTATTAGAACACAAAAAACGCATTACGTACGACCTTCTGCGTTTTCACACCTCATAGATTGTGTTATTCAATTATAATTCTAGATGATTATTTG